ATTGTTCTAACTGTCAGGAAATTTCTCCTTAGTTCTAAGTTGCTTCTTTCCTTGATGTTTCCACCCATTGTTTCTTGTCCTACCCTCAGGTGTTTGGAGAATAGCTTGACTCCCTCTTCTTTGTGGCTATTGGAACACTGCTATCACGTCACCCCATCCACTCCCCCAGTCCTTTTTCATTAAACTAGCCATAACCAGTTCCTGCAATCTTTCTTCATATGTTTTAGCTCCAGTCCCCTAATCATCTTTATTGCTCTTCTCTGCACTCTTTCGAGAGTCTCCACATCTTTTTTACTATAGGTGTAATAGACAAAGTGTGCTTTTTGAGCTTCCCAGTGTATTTTAGATTTTGTTTTCACCTTTGTTTTCAAATCCTTGCTCTAACATTTGCATCCCAATTTTTCTCTAGACATCACGTGCAATATTGAATTGTTGGGAATCATCTCTTCATCCACATGCATTGTTAAAGACAGACTAAGTTTAATGTAGTGATTCAGACTAGAAACCTGGAAGCAATGAGTTCTAATTCTCTTTTGGGCTCACCCATCGTCATTGGGTGATCTTGGCACAATTGCTCCCTCTTAATCCATCCCACTTTACAGGATAGTAGTTGTGAACAAAATAAAAGGAGGGACCATGAAGTGTCCCAACTTGAGTTATACAAAATAAAGATGGGATATAAATCTAGATTTAAAATATTTACTGCAATGAGTATTTTTGGAATAGGCAAGAATTCAGCCCTTAATTGCATTCAAATTGGATTCAAACACAATTTTTAATCCATAATTAATTATAATATATTTCAGAATTACACCAGCGTTTCAGTTTTCAAATGTTTCAAAAGTATTTGATGGAATGGAAAGTAGCTTTCTCTTAAAAGAATGTTACTGCAAATAGGATTTGGACACAAGTCCACTGATTAATTATAATCACTTTTATTCGCCAGCTCAATATTAGCATCAACATATTAGAGTCAGACATTTTTTCTGATAAATAAGGGCACCTAAAGTGGATGTTCTCTTTCATCCTTCTTCAATCTTATTTAAGCATTTCTGACTAGAATATTAGGAAGAACAGAAATATTCAATGTCTTAATATTAAAGCAGAACATAATATAATTAATGATACACTCATTTTTCTTAAAAATCCAAATAGAGACATATTTCAATTGCTGTTTGAATTAAATTTCAAGCAGTAGCAGTTTGGAAATTATGTTCAATAAATCCTCAGCTGTACTAATGAATGTTGACAAAAATGGGGAAGAAGATACAGAACTTCATGTGAATCCAGAGGTTTGAGATATTTAGAGTAATTATTGTAAAGGGTTGATACCAATTTTTGAAAAAAAAAGTAATTATGGTTCTGTCCTGCATGAGATGAAAGAGAACTTAAATTATAGGAATAGCTTTCATTATCATTGCTTGGTAGATTAGCCGCACTTAAAATGCTTACAAATTCTATAAACCTAGTTTTCTATCGTGCGCTAATAAATCCAATTCCGTGAACGCGGTGGTGCAATCGCTTAAAGACACTGGAACTGCCAGCCAGATATAGACTGCACTCCAGAGGTTCGAGCCTGGCTCTGCAAGATGTGGTGTGCTCCCACCACTTGCTCCCTAGCTCCTGCCCATCCAGCAGTTCAAAAGCATGCAATATTGCAAGTAGATAAATGGGTACCACTTTGGTGGTAAAAACCTACCGTGCTTCCTCAAAAATAAGACATGGTCTCATTTTCTTTTGGCCCCCAAAATAAGTGTTTGATCTTATTTTTGGGGAGGTCTTATTATTTTTGAGGTGCAGGAGGTCCCTTAACCTCAGTCTGCAGATCANTAAGCAAAGCCATTTTTAGAGGATCGAGGGTAGAGAAGACGCGAGAGCCAGGACTTCAACAGAACAGGTTTATTGTAAGCTAGTTTGACAGCGATTCAAATGTATCCTTTGGTTAACATTGTATTTATACAGGCAATAAGAACAGACGGACCAATGGGCGCTCAGCAAGCGTCCGGCAACTGCTGACGCTGTGCCCCGACCAATCATAAAGTCCTCGAAGTTACGACCGGGAGGCCAGCAACAGACCAGGCTGCACCCTGATTGACTGGGGCGCAGCATAGCCTGTTGCTGGCCTCCCGGTCGTAACTTCGAGGACTTTATGATTGGTCGGGGCACAGCGTCAGCAGTTGCCGGACGCTTGCTGAGCGCCCATTGGTCCGTCTGTTCTTATTGCCTGTATAAATACAATGTTAACCAAAGGATACATTTGAATCGCTGTCAAACTAGCTTACAATAAACCTGTTCTGTTGAAGTCCTGGCTCTCGTGTCTTCTCTACCCTCGATCCTCTAAAAATGGCTTTGCTTAAAAAAGCTACATTCATTTTATGACTGTCATATTTGCTGCTACTACTACAGTTATGTCGCTTCCAGGTTGAAGGGATTAGCTGGTGACATCATTGCCCAGGGAATGTCCAATAGGAGGGTCCTTTTTATGTCCTACTGAAGTGGTATCTATCTATCTACTCACAGTCTCCCATTTTCAAACTGCTGGGTCGGCAGGAGATGAAGCCAGTGATGGGAGCTCACCCCGCCACATGGGAACAACTCAAACATGAGCCTGCCAATCATCAGCCTAGCATTCTAACCATGTGACTGTGTTCCTTGCCATATTTGCTTAGCATCAACCGTTAAAAAAGGTAGTAAAATTGAGGCCTGGTCACATGACGACCTGTTTTACAACCGTCAGCACTTAAGATTGTAATTGTGGGCACAATTATAGTTACAACTCAAGGACCACTAGAGTTGCTCAGGTGATTTTAATTCATATTAAATTATTTGCCATGTTCTGAGAACTTCTCAGCGGTTAATACGTTTTCTTGTATTAAAGCAAAACATATTCCTGTAGGTAACATATATTAATGGGTAGATGCTAATTCACTGCAGAAGTACTATATTATGCATGATACAAATAAATTACAAATAAGGCTTCACTCCTATTTCATGCACCATAAAGCTTACATATAAAACTGATAGCAACTACTGCCATACTTAATTGCATATTCATTTTTAATGAGAAATAACCTTACTAGAGTTGTAAAGTACTGTTAAAGAAAAGCTGAAGTATATTATCTTTTTGGACAAGCAATTGCTTAAGTGGTTGTTCACCAAGATATATAACATCTGAGGATAATATTTAATGACTTATCATTTTAATGCAGGGATGATCAGAAATTGCATTTAATCTAGAACTGTACAGCTAAACTAGATGGTTAAGAGAAAAAAACGTATCAAGAAGAAAACAAAATCCTAATCAAAGACCTACCAAAGAGAAAAAAAAACATACATCCCATCAACACAGACTGGACAAGCTTCTATATTCAGATAGTCCTCAACTTACAACAGTTGATTTAATGACCAATGTTTTAACGGCACTGAAAAAAGTGACTTACGACCATTTTTCACACTTATGACCATTGCAGCATCCCCATGATGTGATTTACATTCAGATGCTTGATAACTGGTTCATATATACGACGGTTGCAGTGTCCTGTGGTCATGTGATCACTTTTTGTGACTGTCTGATCAGCAAAGTCAATGGGGAAGCCAGATTCACTTACCAATGGTGTTATTAATTTAACGACTGCAGTGATTGACTTAACGTGGCGAGAAAAGTCGTAAAATGGGGCAAAACTCACTTAGCAAATTTCTCACTTAGCAACATACATTTTGGGCTCAGTCGTGGTCATAAGTCGAGGACTACCTGTATAAACATTCATTTTCTAGGCAAGATGTTACCTATTTGAATGTAAGATCTGCAAGCAAGCAAGCATGCTCAGAGAGTGCCAAGGACTCTACAGTTCAATTCTGAGCTATAAATATTCTCTTTTATTGGAAAGCAATAAACATACCCCAACCTTACATCTTTTGGAGTTGCTCCAATTGTTATTGGTCTCAATTCAGGATGTAGATCTTATCAACAAAGCTTTAAATGGATTTAAATGCTTTCTTGAGGGATCAGAGAAGCCATTTATTACTCAATTTCCAGTGAGAGATAAAGACTTTCCTGATTCATTCAGCATTATATGGTTTTTAATATATGATCTAAAACATGTGTTTTTTTCAGGAATGTTAACTAAATTGTTTTACTGGGAATGCTTATACTGTGTTATGAAACTTCTGATTAAAATGTAATCTAAAAATACTTTTAAAAAGTCACTAAGAAACAAGCAATGAAAGATTTCCAGGTAAATACAGAGAAATAATACCCTTTAGGCTTTAGCAAGTCTTTAAAGTTTCATGAACTTGTGCCCCCGCTAAAGTATATAAAAGCTGTAAAGCATTATCTCCAGGACACTTTACAGATGCTTTTAACTCAGCTGTTGTGGTTAAATATATCAGCATGGACTCATTAAAAGTTTTTAGAAATCCATTGTAGTTATAACCTAAGCTGGCAGAGATTTAAGAACTGGGTTTCCTGAAACTGCAGCCATAGAGAAAGGAGAAAATTCCATAATCAGAGATTCTATGACTTCATAATCAATCGCAATCATCCCTAAGCCAAGAGAAAGAACTGCAGAAATCTAAAAACATTATTGTTACGTTAAAATGAAAGTAGAAAATCAGTACGCCTCCTACATACACCTTCTTGCCATTTCTACCATGTAAAAAGTTGTGACCCACCTTCAGAATCTCTTTGGCTATCACAGACATCCAGTTTTGCCCATTGGCTGAATTCGTAGGAAGAATCACTGCTCACTCGACATATGTAATATCCCGCATCTTCTACAGTTACTTGACTGAATATCAGTTCTGGGGAATTCCCATATGGAACCTGAATTAGGATACAACAAAAACACATTGCACACATTGCCACAATAGGGAAGTTTCTGGAAGGTATAGTACAATAGTGTTTACCTATGTAGGAAGTTAGCACACACCCCTCTCCTAGAAAAATGAAATATTTGAGGAAATATTAGAAAGAGTAGAATATTTCCCCTAAAAGGGAGGCAGAAACTCTCTCACACCCACCACGTTTGTCAATGGGCCATTAAGGCTTGAGCCACTCTATTCTACATAACAAAGATCTACTTCTTTCAGGCAGAGCCATAATAGGAATCCCAAAGCCCTTACATTAAATCATCACCCAGCAAGACTCAACCAAACCTGGGAGTCAGGACAGCCTACAGAGTTGTCCCTGCATGGCCCCATGGGAGTCTGACAACCAATCAGAATACAAGCTCAAATTCAAAAGCCCAGAAAGGGCATAAAACCAGGGAACTGTCAGCAACTCTTCCCTTTTTGCCCAGGACCTCAAACCATGTCAGGCCTTCAGCCATCTTTTCATTTGGATCTTTGGCCTGCCACACTTTCTATCATTCTACTTTGCATTTTCTATTGTGGGAAAATGGGAGGGGAAATTGCACGGAGTTAGATGCTATGTAGCCATAACAAAATTCTTTCTAGAAAGCCAAAGTCATCCTTTGCCTTTGCACCTGATCGGAACTGGATGGATGGACCTGCCAGCATGGCAGTGAAAGATTGGACCATGTGATTGACTCATGGGCGTGGCGGCAAGATCTTGAACTTTCAACTGGGTGGGGAAAACTGGGAAGCTTTCAGATTCGGGTTTTCCCAGATGTGTCAACATGGCTTTCTTAATAAATTGGAACTATGAGCAAAACTTTGCCTTGGACTCTGATTTAATTTTGGATGTTATTTGGAAGCCTGACACCTTGCCTTGGTCATGTCATTGAAGGAAGATGCTTGAAGGAAAGAGCAAGTTTGTAGGGCCTTGCAAAAGAACAGAAGGATTCCTGTTATCTGGATTTAATTTTGGATGCTATTTGGAACCCTGGCAGTGGTCCTGTCCACCATTAAAAACCATCTTTCCAAGCAATCTCCATGTTTCCAGTGTCTTTCTCCCCACTTGGAACTGAACCCAGAAGGACATTTCTTCCAACACATATATTACACACAAAAACTGGTTTGGCTGATTGTTTGGTTTAAACAGAGTGATTGGTGAACTCAGCCCTTGTTCTATGTTAAACATTATTTTAAACCAATAGAACAGAGTTTCAGCAAAGATCAGTTTGGAGTTCAGGCCTATTCATTGCCTATTTGAAACAGATTAACTAAGAAAAATGGAATCTCAAGTCCTCAAGATTTTAAAATTTTATTGATTGATTAATTCAATTTCTCTACCCACCTGTCTCAATCTTACTCTTGTTCTACCTTATCTAACAATTACATTGTTAAGTTATTTAATAATTAATCTTCACTCTGCAAGAAACTCAGCATGTATTTTCTACACAACAGTACTGAATTAAACTGGATTAAGCGGAAAGCAAAGATAAAGTAAAGGCTGCCTGTTAAAATTTATAGATGAGCAAGGAGTTAATTGATGGTCTCTCCAATTCAGGAGCAAGACTAAGAACACAAAGAGGAGCTTCTAAGGCATTCTTGAGATCTAGTGTGTTGACTTTTCAGTGATTGATTGATTGACTAATTGATTGACTGACAGACTCATTCATTCATTCATATTACTACCTTACAACAGTCACAAGAGTAATTCTAGGCATTTTATAAAGTCACAACAGTAACTCTAGGCGGTTTACAAAGCAAATTTGTAAGGCAAGGCAAGGCAAGGCAAATCAAGCATATAACATTAAGACTGCTAAAATCCACAACAAGGAACCACAAAACCAGTTGCACACCAAAAGACATAGATCAAAAAACGAGGTCACAAAATATTCGGCAGAAAAAGCCAGACGTGACATGACTCTGCGACACTGCAAACAGCCATAAATCCAGCCCAGTTTCCAAGCATCCAAAGGGAGGTCCTGTGACTATGGGGAGGGAGCTGATCATTGGAACTTCAAATCTGAGTTGAACTTCCAATTATCAGCTTCCTCCTCACGGTCACATGATCTCCCTTGAGTTGAAATCACCACTCAGGTAGGCCTGTTGGAACTTTGAATAGCTGCAAGTCAAGAACTGCCTATATCAGTGATGGAGAATGTGGGCAGCACCAATGCCAAAAAGGAAGCACTTTGCGCTTGCCTGGGCCACAGCCCTTAAGAGGAGCTGCCCAGGGAGCATACGCATGCTGGAAAATAAACTTCTGGTTTCCGGCACGGGCATGCATGCCAGCCAGCCAGCCAGTTATGCTCACGCCGGAAAACAGAAGACCAGCTCTTTCTGGTTTCCGGCACTGCCACATGCAAAAAGGCAGCTGATCGTTGCATGCACATGCGTGCCAGAAACCCAGAAGAGGAATAGTCAATGCCACATGTGCCAGGCAACATGGTTCCACGTGCCACTTTGGGCACGCGTGCCATCGGTTTGCCATCTTGGGCCTATATAGATTGAATACTTAGAACTGTAGCGTAATATAATATATTTCCATGCACAAATCAT